CAGAGTATAAGAGTTGCGAGCCCGAGTACCTTCACCTTTAGTTACTCTTCAGAGGACGTATTAGAAGCACTATGCAAATACACAGCATATACTACACTACTGTATGGTTGTGGAGGTACATCAAAAAGACGATGACTCACTATCTTCCCAGAAGTTTGGGGGGGGCGGGGGGGGGTGGAAGCTGAGAACATGCCAGGGACTCCCCAGACGCCGGGCGTCATGGCACTGAACCCATAACTGAGCACCACACTGGGAGCTGTGTGAGTTACAGTAACGACCTGGAAAGACATACAGACACGAAACTACGAAAAACTTCGATGCAAGAGCCATACAGCCGTACGCCATGCCGGAAATATCTGCACGCTATGTAGACTCCTTGCTAAAGCTCAGCTCTACTGCAAGCAACGTGTTTGGACTCTGCTTCTGCTCCAATTGATTATGTAGAGGGCGACATCAAACCAGCCGCGCATCACAATTAATGCATCATTGTGGACGCAATTCGCTTCCAAGACTCAAAAATGACAGAAAGCAGCTGAGGGACAGTTAAGTGACAAAATACTAAAAAATTACACCGATTATGCATCTGTTGATGAACGTAAGCTGAACGGAGGTTGGAAATCAGTCTGTCAAATGGTTTCCTGATTTACAAATATGCCGTTTCCAGTAATCAAGGTGCGTTGTTCCCATAGCAACTCATCCAACCCCAAAGTCCATGTTGGCGGTTGGTGAAAACTTCAAACCAGGTTTAATCCAAATCTGTTACCCTTCGTTGTGAAAAGCTTTGCAGTTACCTCACTCCAAAACCGCCAGCGAGCTTCCCATCACTGAGAGCTCTGGAGCACAGCTGTCTGGGGACAGACTCAATCAGATCTGTGATTTTAAAGAACCCGTCAGCCACCTCTGACACCGAGAGGTCACCGCGACGTGAAAACTGAGGAGGAGCTTAGGGACCAAAGAGAGGCTGGTTAGTAGCACGTTAACTTCTTGCCTACACTTTCCATTCATTGGACCAGTGCTTGGGAAGGGGTGGGGCTTGGGAGAGCTTTAGCACCCAATAGGATGGGTGCTAAATAATTGGAATTTTAATGAATACGTCTTGTGTAGGTGTATACTGATAATCCCGAACACTAAAATTGCTTAACAATCACAAAAGGTCATGTGATTAAGGGAGACCACTTTCCTCGGGCTGTAATCTTACTACAAAAAAAAAAAAACATAAGGGGATGAATTAAAGGCAGAATTGACAAATGCAGTGCAAGTTTTCTGACAGCAGTGTGTCTGACCAGCATTTTTAGGCAACACAGTAGCTGCTGTTGACACAGCTGTACATCACATTAATTTATTCAGAAGATCCTTTTTTCCAAAGCGACAAAGGTGAAGAGAGCCAGGGGTCTGAGGCTGAGGCCCCTCCTCGAGGGCCCAGTGGCCACGTGATTATTCTCCCAGCTGCGGTGTTTGAACCCATAACAGGGGCACCGATCCCACACCTACTGAGTAACATGCTACCCTGCGCAGTTATTGCAAACTTTTCAGTTTTGCTGTTGGTCTTTAGACATTGTTATGTAGGACAACACAGGCATTTCAATTCCAATTTCAATTCAATTCCTTAATACGTACATTGCAAAAGTTACAAGCGTCATGCAAGCAGAGAGAATGTGGTCTGTAGCACAAAGAGCAGTTTTGTACATTCAGGATATCTATGGCTGCACTGGCTATCGGACCTATAGATTTCCAGTCTGATCCGTGCTGAGAGCCAGTTTACTCCCAGCACTGATGTCATCTACGTCCAAGACCACAATTTGCAAAGTGGGCAAGTACTGCAGCTTGCAGCATGACTCAGCTGGGGGCATAATCGCCGAACACGCCAGGAAGCAGACATCTCTGATCTCACGCACACAGAATCAGAGAGACGCGAGCAGAAAACCTCATTAAACAAGGCAAATGAACAGCATCAAAAAGACCTCATTCTGCTGTCCCTGAGGAACAAATCCACACAACTGGACGTAATCCCAGTTAGATTCACCCCACAGAGCTGCAGAGTCTTCACACACGGACCCCCCTTACAGCCATTGGATTCGCTCTGTACCGTACACCATGTACAACTTACAGACAAACAAAACCTTCCAGTCAAATAACAAAAAGCAGAATTAAAGCAACTCCTTGGATTATTTTAGTAACTGTTTAGTAACTGCTTTTTCATAAGGAGAATGAAGGGGCAGATCATGTTTACTGGTTGCCACAAATATATAATATATGGACAAAAGTATTGGGACACACCTCATAATCATTGAATTCAAGTGTTTCATTCAGACCCATTGCCACAGGTGTATAAAATCAAGTACCTAGCCTTGCAGTCAGGTTTACAAACATTTGTGACAGAATGGGTCATTCTGAAGAGCTCAGTGAATTCAAGCGTGGTGCTGTCATAGGATTCCACTTTTGCAATAAGTCATTTTGTGAAATTTCTTCCCTGATAAATATTACAATCAACTGTAAGTCGCATTATTGCAAAGTGGACGCATTTAAGAACAACAGAAACTCAGCCATGAAGTGGCCGACCACATAAAGCAACAGAGCGGGGTCACCGAGCGCTGAGGCACATAGTGTGTCAAAGTCGCCAACGCTCTGTTAACTCAATAACTACAGAGTTCCAAACTTACTCTGGCATTAACCCCAGCGCAATAACTGTTGGGAACTTCATGGAATGGGCTTCCATGGCCGAGCAGCTGCATGCAGGACACACATCACCAAGTGCAATGCCAAGCCTCAGATGTCTGGCACTATGATGGATGAGTCTGGGTTTAGCAGATACCAGGAGAACGTTATCTGCCTGACTGCACTGTGCCAACTGCAGAATTTTGTGGAGGAGGGATAATGGTATGGGGTTGTTTTTCAGGGGTTGGGCAAGACCCCTTACAGTAGTTCCAGTGAAAGGAACTCTTAATGCTTTTGCATAAAAAGACATTTTGGACAATTATATGCTTCCAACTTTGTGGGAACAGTTTGGGGAAGGCCCTTCTCTGTTCCAGCATGACTGTGTCCCAGTACACAAAGCAAGGTCCATAAAGACATGGTTGGGTGAGTTTGGTGTGGAAGAACTTGACTGGCCGGCACACAGCCCTGATCTCAACTCCATCGAACACCTTTGGGATGAACTAGAACAGAGATTGTGAGCCAGGCCTTCACGTCTAAAATCGGTGCCTGACCTCACAAATGCTCTTCTGGATGAATGGGCAAAAATTTCCACAAACAAACCCCAATATCTTGTGGAAAGGCTTCCCAGAAGAGTGGCAGCTGTTATAGCTGCAAATGGGGGACCAACTCCATATTGATGCCTATGGATTTAGAATGGGATGTCATAAAACTTCCTGTAGGTGTAATGGCCAGGTGTCCCAATACTTTTGTCCATATAGTGTACGTCACTTGCACAGGACATGTAGAAATTAAGACTTTCACACCAGTTATTATGACTGGACTGATCTTCACTGTATTCTGGATGAGACCAAACATTTTCACCAGCCAGGAGATGAAGCTTCTGTCAGCTGAGCATGGCAAACCCAACCCAAGCGTCCCTGTGCACTTCCCCGCTAGCTGTTTCATCTTATAAATAGACTTCCTTTCATTTTCCTTGCCATGACACTCTAGTTTATTTTTGCACTATTTCTACAGCGAAGTCGAGTCCGTCCACAACATAATTAAGAACTCGAAAAGAAAATATCTCCAGCATCCTTTATGTGGGGAAAACAGGGCCAAATATAGAATCAATAACAAATAAAAAACCAGATACTTTTATCAGAAAATATTTTTCACGGCTCATCGTATCCAAGCAATTATGGGAGTGGGGGGGCCGGGTTAGCACCAGTCAGCTCTCAGTCTCGGGCAGAAGCCGCTGCAGTGCCCTCAGTGAACAGGCGACCGCGTGGCAGGACCCCGCGCTGCACACTGTCCCACACAAGGCCAGGGTGGGGCCATGCTACACTGACAATCTGCTGAACAAGCAGAACAAACGTGTCACTGTCTCTCAGTGGTGGGCACCAATGAGTGACTGCATTTTGATCCAGTCAGATTTAGACTTTCATTAGCAAACACCAGGTCAAATTAAGGGCAGTATAAAAAATATAAAAAAAAATAACTCTGGCACGTTTTTCAGTTTTCTGTTTTCCTTAAAACAGTCCAGTACTCCATCACACCCCTAATAAAATAAATAAAATTATGAAATATTAAATGAGGGCTCACTATAAACATTAAACAACTAATCCTGCAAGAAAGAAAACTTCCTGAAATACATAATCACAGAAACTGCTTAAAAATGTTTAAACTGTGCCTCATTCATTTCTTTAGAAAATGGCAAACCTGAATACTACTAAAATTAATAAATGTAATCAATCAGCAACGTATTTCAGTTACTGTACATCGATTTAATATATTTGGCAAATATATTTGGTTTTTAAAGAACCTACTTTACAAACATTCAGGAGGAATATTTTAAAATGTTAACAAATCTTATAAATAGGCAAATTATTACATAATGGATTGTAAATTTAATGCATGTGATCCAGCCTATTATAGTGATACCGGTCGACAGTCGGATAACTGTCAGCGTCCTTCACTGAAGCATGTAATGAGCTTATTGATTTGCCAATATTTAATATTTCGTGAGTTGACAATTAAGAAAAGCATTTATTTCAAAAACTAAAAACCACAAAATAAAAACATCATTTCAAGTGTGCTCTACGCCAAGACCTACAGTACAATTACAGTAAGATAAAAAGTAGTTACGATTTTTGATGAGGTATAACAATTTAAGACCTCAATTGCTTTAAAAGTAAAACGCGACTCTTTGGATCATAGTTTTATTAAACTTTTCCTGGTGCAAAAAACAACTTTTTCATGATTTTTCCCATTTGTTTTATTATACTTCTAATGTTTATGTCACTTTAAAGATAAAAGTTTTATTACTGAAGAACCTGTGGCCGTGGCGCGCCCCGTGATTTACGCACCCACTCGGAAGCCGGGCCCGGTAAGCGTGTCCGTGGAGCGGCCGTTCTCGCCGATCAGCGTCGTGTTGTTGCCCTGCTCGCAGGTGTACTGGCACTGTCCCTTCAGGCACGTCCGCTTGCAGATCAGCGGAGCGATGACCACCTTGAAGCGCTCCAGACCCGCCGGGCGCTCCGCGCCGAACGCCAGCCTCTGGACACCCAGCCAGAAGAGAAAGAGATGGGAGATGGTCAGGGGGGGCATGCTGGCATCCTTATCGACTCCGCGGGGCCGCGGCAGGGTGAGGGGAGGCAGCGCACGGAGCCTGAAAGGTGCCCAGCAAAGACGTCTTCTATCCGGTGCCGACCACCTCTTTTTGCCTCTTTCTCCCCAGTTAAAATTCGCTGCGCCACGGCGGAAAAAGGAGCTGCCAATGTGCTCAACTCGCCTCTTAAAAGATCGAGCAGGAAAACAAAGTTTGCTTTTTTTTTTCTCCTTCCCTGCAAGAAAAAACAAACTCTAAGTAGCGTCTTTCCGAATAACAATGCTGCAACGCCTAAAAAGCATTAAGATATATAAAAGTGATCCGAAGAAGTAGAAGTGAATCATCTAAAGTTAAATGGCCCTTCTTGGGTCGTTTTTTTTCAGCGTCTTATTCTGCTGCCCGGGATGGCTGGAATGAGCGTGTCTGAGAGTTTGGCAAGAAGGGAGAGAAGAAGGAGAGAGAAAGCGAGGGAGAGCCGGCGCTGCGCCGCGGTGCGGGGGGACTGGCGACAAGCCAGGCAGCGGGAGTTTAGCTAGAAGTGGTCCCGTTGTTGGAGCGATTCGGGCTCTCCGGTTGCCTTCCCCTCCCAGATCAGCAACGATAATGACACAGCTGTGCCTGTCACTCCGCGATGCTAATTTACCGTCATCACCACCTTTAAGCGGCCATTCCAGGAATAAGGCTTTAAAGCTCCGGGTTCCTGAGCGAACCCAAACTGACGTGCTTAGGACACATTAGATAATTTTACATTGTTTATAATTCATTGCGTTTTTTTGCTGAAAACAGTACACTTTAATGGAAGAGTAGGCCTGTGCATCTTAATTGCAGAGACATATTAAATTATTATTATGCATTTTGAGAATTTGTGGTAGCATTACTATTCATGCACAGTACTTCATGAAATTTAAATAGGTGAAAACCTTCACTTATTTACAGTATGCAGGAATTTAGGTGGGGAGGTCAGTTTATTAAGCCCAGGAATATCACAGAATGCTAAGGTTGAGTCACTTCCTCCATGAAAGTGAGAATGTTTGTTTTCAGTCGCTAAGGAAATGACAGAGCGGCTCTGGAAAGAGTTCACAGGCGGTTCTTACATTCTCTGCGTTTTCTAGAGAGTCGTCTGCTGCCAAATCCCTTTCTCCCCTGCATGCTCACGCACGTGCGCTCACACACACACACACACACACACACACGCACTCACACGCCTGTTTACCTTGGCTGCTGTTTCAGCCAGAATTGTCAAACAATTCTCAACATTTAAAGTCTTCACTGGTTTGTAGAAGCACCACACTGATGTGGGAATTCTGAATCCCCCAGTGAAACCAGACACCACCAGCTATAATACCAGTTACTGCACTTTAAAAAATAATCACTATAGGAAAAAAATTCTTTGTGGGAGAAATGGGAATTACAATTGTGATTGGTTTGTCATTAATTACACTTTAATATGTTGGTCAAATTTCCTGCGCTCTCCGTGGTGTAACATGCACAGTCCACGCATGTGTGTGCATACTGACAATTCGCTGGCTTATCTGCACGTGATTGCAGTTTTATCATGCAGCAAATGTCATGTTGAAAACCAGTATTCATTACCTATGTAAAATAAGAAGGACATAGGATAACTACAGTATATAGAGCCCTTTGTTTGCGTGAACTTGACCGGACTGTGAGGTTCGTGATAAATCTGTGATGTCATCACCGTGATGCAGAATGATTGAGTGTGACTGACCTGAAGCCAGAGGGCGAACAGTAGAACGGCTCAGCTGACCACAGTGGCTGAGTCAGAGCAGGAGGGGTCAGCGACTGTTTGCTTTGCGTCCCGTAAAAGGCCTTTTCGGTGACCTGATGGACTTGGTTCTGTTCTGTCATCTATTCCCAAACAGAGTCACCCTCAGGAACAGCCTAGCAGCCATGACTCAGCTGCAAGGTGTCGCTGTCTCAGAGGCTGTTTCAGAGGCTGTCTCAGAGGCTGTCTCTGATGGGTCATAGGTTCCAGCTTTTACAAAACTCTGTACTCCATGTCATGGCCTCACTTACCAACACAGCGACAGGACAGACAGATCTTGGATGGATGGACGGACAGACAGAGAGATAGATAGATAGATCGATGAAAATGCAGAATTACAGATAGAGTACCAGGGTGTATGAAGCTAACATAGCCAGTAATTCCAGCTGCTAATGACAGATACCTGGAATATAGTCCCTTGAACATCAGACAATAAGGAATGCAGAGAGTAATTAATACTGAATAATGAGTAAGAGTGAGCAATATATGTCAAAATAGGACAAAACAATCACAAAAACAAAGACCAAAATCATACTCGAGACTGGTGATGATAGAGGCTGTGATAAGCAGTTTAATCTACAGTCACCTTTTATTTTTATCATATAACAAGCAGCAGTAGAGTAGCCTTATGGACTGAAAGACGAAGCGGTTTCTGAGCTTTGTGATTTGAGGTCTGATGTTCTCTCTGCGTTTGTGTGGTTCTCCTCAGGGTTCTCATGTTTTATCCTAAGGGCCAAAAACAGGAAATTAGGCAGTTGGTGACTCTAAATTGCACATGGTGTGTGTGGTCTGTGGTGAACCAGCATCCTTTCCAGGGTGTCCTCTGCCTTCTGCACTGTGGTGTCTGCACTGGGCTTCAGGCTAAGTGTGACCCGGTACTGGGTAAGCTGGATGGATTGACACTGTGCTACTTCCTTACTTTCCTAATCATGGATCTACCTGCCAGCTGTGAAGAGGAACAGACCCATCTATCACAACACAAAGGCATTTCATGTTTAAATCTGATCTCCACATCACCAGGGGATATAAAGTCCTCTATGTTCTATGATATCAATCACAATGCAGACACTATGGTGTTGAACTCTCATAGTTTCCACAGTGGTAATGTAATATATTAAGTTACAGCTGTATTACAAAGCATTACAATGATGTTTATCTTTATCCCACTTACAGCTAAGACATTCTCCTTGGTGCCATCATTGGTGTACAGTACCATTATGATACAGAGCTAGTCAGTCTTGGTACAGCTGTTTAAGTAACTTCAGGTTCTGTGACACATGTTCCAGCTCAAATAAGTATGAAGCCAAAACTATCTATCTATCTATCTATCTATCTATCTATCTATCTATCTATCTATCTATCTATCTATCTATCTATCCATTCATAGACCCATCCATCTATCTGTCCGTCCATCCATCCATATTCCAACCACTTATCCATTACAGGGTTCTCGTTCTAATCGTGGACTAATGTAAATATCACACCATGTAGACTCTGGATGAACTTCCAGAGCTTCTCCATAGAACAAATTTCATACCTCGGACAACCTTTTCAAACTATTTTCATCAAAGATCAAAAACACCTTCAGAAAATTCAGATGCAGGAATTTGCCAGTCCCTGACATGCGGGATTGCATTTCATCACCATCTGTTTGATCTTAAGTTTTTACTACAACTATAACTATAATACAGAAGGTAGATGTTGCAAAGGAATTTAATTTCTGCTCATTTTAAGTTCCCTGATACCAGCCAATGTACAAATCTCAAAGCCTATTCAATTCAAATTGCATATCCACTATGACCAGTTATATTCACAGTGTTTCATATATGAGGAATTTTGTATGACAAAAAATGCAGTCTTATATTACGCTGCTGTCTTACTGCTCAGTAAATCAGATTTTTACGTAACACAGCTCAGTTCCAAGCTCCGGAAAACTGGCAGTGACTTAAATTACCTCCCTATTACAGAGCATCCAGGAACTCATGTCTGTAGTACTTCTGTTTAGTTAATGAAAGGTTCGATTCACGCCTGGTTTCTACATGATCAGATTTCATTAGACCAGAGTTCAGCTCATAATCCAGTTGTTTACATCTCAAGGAGCAAAAAGACCAAATAAAATCTTACCTGATAAACCAGGGTTGCTGGCTTGGTGTTGGTGCCACTGCTAAAACGGTTGGTCTTATACATTATACATTTGTACAGAATTTCAAATAGTAAAGAACTCTACATCCTTCCATATCCTCGTCATCATTCACAGATGCACGGGTTATATTAAACTGGTGATAATACTGAAATATTGAAGGTAGTAATTGTATATCCAAAAGCAGCAAGTGAATCAAGAATTAATATTCAACATGTTTAAGATATCAGTAATTCTGCTATCAGTTATATGGGGAAAGTTAGAGGTACAGAGGGCATAGACTTCGTAATGCTATGGAAACATTTGAAAAATATTCATTCAAAGAGTTTTATTAAAAAAATGTGACAATCAAGGGCATAGCTAGAAACTGAGTTTGGAGGCTCATGTGTCCCTGATGTAAATATCAGGAGCTTCTGGGAGCTGGCAGCTGAGCATTTGCTGAAGTTTTGTGATGGTTCTGGGGTCTACCTGGTCTGAGGGATCATGTTCAGTGTCCATATATACTTTGGCTGAACTTCTCATTGTAACAGTTAACACTGACTTGCCAGTCTTATATAGTAAGAGTGTTTTGAAGAGGAATCTCTGGCTTAGGGAATCATGTGTCGTGCAGAACAATCGACTCCTTTGCTGTGCAGAAGAGAAGCTTGTAAGTCACCTTTGTACAGCCTCGCTCAATTGGAGAATAAGGCAGAAAAGACTCCTTTCCAGATGTCACCGTGGATCTCTGGAAGAATCAGAATGGGGACAAGTCTGTATTTCACACTGATCCGTGCCCAACAAATCAAGTCCAATTTTAAATGAGAGGATGAAAATCCCAGACTGAACCTTCTGAGAATTCTGGTTTTGTTTCTGGCTGGAAATGTTCTAAAATATTTGCGCAGTTGTAATGATATTTTGTCTGGTGTTAAATGACACGAGTGAACCTAGTTTTACTCCTCTGGTTACCAACGAGGCTGACAGATTGTGAGAGGATAAATCACGGTCTGTTTCACTTTAGCAGCATTCTGTTTTCATGCTATGAAAAAAGTATTTTCTTCCTTTGTAGTCTGAGGCACTGGGGTTACGTTTCGCGGTATTTATGTAAAGGCAAAACCAGAATGCAATGCTCCATTTCTTCCGTCACAGAGGAAATGTGGGGTCATTGTTAAAATTCAATTTTTATTGTGACATTTACTCTGACATCTACCTCTGTCCTTTCTTTAGAATATTAAACTCTTTCTAGAATCCCCCAAATGAATTGCTTCACGGTTACTCCAAGGATGAAACACCATTTAAAGGTTACCACTCATTATTATGGATAACACTTATAGTAATGTTTTCAAGTTCAATGCTAACCATTCAGGTATCCTTACTATGCTGTTACAGCTCCAGTTAAAATGTTTATTTTTCCACAAAGGAACGATCACTAACTCACTAGCCCTGTCCTATAACCCAAAGGACATCTGTGACTTATCCTGCTGCGTAAAGAACTGTGACCTTGGCTTTCATAAATGTCTTGCTGTTTCAGAGTAAATATGAAAAAAAAGTTGTTGCGGGCCCCCTCTAGCGGACATTCAGTGGAAAGACAGGGAAAACTAAAGCAACAAGTATTGCAACTTCAACATTCGTGTGACATAATAATTGACAGACTGACGGATCATTTCTCTCACCATGTATTCCGATTTTGAACTTTTTTTTGAAAGAAGGTGGCTCAGTGGGTAGCACTGTCATTTCAGACAGCGCTGCAATTAACCTGCATCTCTAAATTGCCCAGGAAGTGTAAATGTGTGTGTTTCTTACAAGGAAGTGGCATCCTTTCACGCATTGGTGCCAGTCCCGGTCCGCCCACTAGGGGGCTGCATACACTATATGGCAAAAGTATTGGGAAACACCTTTCATTCATTGAATTTAGGCATTTCGTTCAGACCCATTACCACAGGTGTATAAAATCAAGCACCTAGCCATGCAGTCAGGTTGACAAACATTTGTGAAAGAATGGGTCATTCTGGAGAGCTCAGTGAATACAAACGTGGTGCTGTCATAGGATGTCACCTTTGCAATAAATCAGTTTGTGGAATTTCTTCCCTGCTAGATATTCCACGGTCAACTGTAAGTGGATTTATTGCAAAGTTGAAGCATTTAGGAACAACATTTACTTGTAGAGTAACAGAGCAGGGCTGCCGAGTACGTAAATGCCGCCAATGCCCTGCTGACTCAGTGACGGGAGTGTTCCAAACTTCCTATGGCATTCATGGTGTGGGCCAAGCAGTGCCATGCAAGCCTCACACTGCCATGTGCAGTGCCAAGCGTCAGATGGAGGGGTAAAGCATGCCGCCACTGGACTCTGAAGCAGTGGAAACATGTTGAGTGGAGTGACGAATCATGCTTCTTTGTCTGGCAGTCTGATGGATGAGTCTGGGTGTAGCAGATACCAGGAGAATGTTACCTGCCTGACTGCATTGTGCCAACTGCAAAATTTTGTGGAGGAGGGATTATGGTATGGGGTTGTTTTTCAGGGGTTGGGCTCGTCCTCTTAGTTCCAGTGAAGGGAACTCTTAATGCTTCTGTATACCAAGAGTTTTGGACAATTTTTTTGGGAACAGTTTGTGGGAACAGTTTGGGGAAGGCCCTTTTCTGTTATGGCATGACTGTGCCCCAGTGCACAAACAAGGTCCATAAAGACATGGTTGGGTGAGTTTGATGTGGAAGAACTTGACTGGTCTGCACAGAGCCCTGACCTCAACCCCATCATACACCATTGAGATGAACTAGAATGGAGATCAGTGTCTGACCTCACAAATGCTCTTCTGGATGAATGGGCAAAAATTCTCACAGTCAAACTCCAATATCTTGTGGAAAGACTTTCCAGAAGAGTGGCAGCTCTTACAGCTGCAAAGGGGGAACCAACTCCATATTGACGCCTATGGATTTAGAATGGGATGTCATAAAAGTTCCTGTAGCTGTAGCGGCCAGGTGTCAGAATGCTTTTGTTCATATAGAATATGCTGATGCACCCCCTGAGAAGAGAAGATGACATCCCAGGTGGCTGCATAAAATCGCCTACAGGGTTTACCGGCATTGACGGCCGCAGGGGCGTCACACGCAGAAGAGGCGGCCGGTCCGTTAGGCGACATAGCAGCTGCTGAGGACGGGTAGCATTAAGAATAACACCCGTCTAAAAACTCTGTTGGCAAAATACAGTTTTTTTGTTTAAATAAGAGTATAATACTGGAAGTGCTAATCCAAGTACTTCTGAAACTGGTAGGTCTTTAGTCATTGCTTGGTTCAATGTTATTATTCTCAGTGCAATTCACCATTAATGTGAAGAACATGATTTAGTCCAATTACAGTGAAAAGGCACCCAATGGCCCAGCTGTTCAGACATCTATGGGACGTTCATTCCACCTCATAGGTGCCAAAACAGAGAAGAGTCTCAATGCATGTCTTCCTTGCGCCTTGATGCCTCAGGTGTGTTTTGGGATTGAATTTAAAATACCAACATTTGTTTACAAATCCCTTAATGGTCTTTATCCCACTTATCTGTCGGAGCTTTTAAATCTCTATGTTCCGAGTAGGACTTTGAGATCAGCAGACCAAAGCCTGTTGCTGATCCCAAAATTTAGGCTGAAGCTTAGGGGAAATTGTGCATTCACGAATGCAAGCCCATAATTGTGGAACAACTTTCCCCTGCATATTCGACGTGCGCCAACATTGTCCACGTTTAAAGCTTGGTTAAAAACTCATTTTTATTCTTGGCTTTTAATTCAGTATAGGAGTCTAGTGTCATGGTTTTTGTCCTCTTTGCTTTTATGATTTGTACAGCACTTTGTGCCAACCTTGATGGTCTGAAAATGTAGTATAGAAATAAACTGAACTGAACTGAGATGGGGGTGCTGGGCCTTTTTTTGGCTTTGTAGGTGAGTATCAGTGTTTTGAATCTGATGCGGGCAGCTACAGGAAGGCAGTGGAGGGAGCGTAGCAATGGTGTGGTGTGGGAGAACTTGGGAAGGTGAAAATGGGTTGAGCAGCTGCATTCTGGGTAAGTTGTAGAGGATGAATGGTGCTCAGAGGCGGACCAGCTAGGAGTGAATTACAGTAGTCTGGATGCTAGTTTTTCCTCATGTTCAGGTCAAGTCATTTCAGTTTTTATTCTACATACCTGCCTTCATTAGACCCCTCATGATCCCCTTTGTTTCTGGTTTATTTTGTATTCAGTTCATATTAAAATCCCCTTGCTGGTCCTAAACTGCTCAGTGGATCATCATTTATCACGCCCTGGTGCTGTAACAGCGAACAATCTGAATTAGCATCTACTGTACAGTGAGTAAACATCTTTAGCAAACAGTGCAGCCCCAAACCGGCAATTCTGTGCTGTTTCTAATTCAAAAAAGTATCTTAACCAAAAGGGGCATGTTTCCCAAAATAGCAGGGATCGTAATTTGTGTAGATCAGAATTTCTATAGGTAGGTTTTCTTGCTATGGTACTACAGTGAATTATTCATCATGTACTGTTCACACACAGGGGATTGGGTTCAAAGCTATTCCACCTCTATGTGGGGTCTAGGTAAATCAAATGCTCCCTTTCTCTTCCATTAGATACAGGTACCAGTACAAAAAAGACTGAAAAATCTTTCAAACAGCTACTGGATTTATTGTTGAAAGGGTTAGGCCAAAAATCTGCACAAGCTTAAAGTAAATATCAAAAGGCTCATCATTTGTATATTAATATGAATATGAATGTAAAACTTTGTCATTACCCATAATATCTGGTAAATGGCTCCCAAAACAGATGGATAAAATCTGCACTTAACAGGCGTGCATAATTACAGGCGGCAGCTCTGAAAAAGTGCAGTGAACCAGCACCCTGATTATCGCCGATCATGCTTTGAGTGCCCCCCCCCCCCCACGCACCATCACCGGCATGGACAGGGGGAGGGCTGGATCGGGTTATTTCGACTGGTCACATAAGCCGAAACAGCTTCTGAAAAAATCACAGAACTTCCAAGTTTTTGTGGGTGGTTTCGGTGAGAACCCACTGCCCCCCCCTCCCCCACAACCCCCACAGTCTGCAATCACTTCCCCATTCAGCACTGTGAGAATACACGTGGAAAATGGGGCAGAATAATAGACGCAGGGTGAATCAGATAAGCCTTTCTAATGAGTCGATGAAGTATCCCCACTGTACAGTTTTCAGTCTAAAAAGAGAAACACAAGGGCCCTTTCATTATAATTTGTAAAGCCCCACTTTTGATTTAGTTTTTATTAAAAAGTTGCATATCCATTAAATATTAAGAAAACACGTCAGTACTTCTATATTAACATTAGTCTGTCCAGTTTAAAGATAAATGTTATTGCAGTCAAAACTAAATTAAAAATCTATAAAAATTTAGCAGTTTAGACAAATAAATAATCGTCAGATTTCGATTGTGAGTAATAGAAAGCAGTTCAGCCAGTGTAACCTTCGATTGTCTGCTTCCTGACCAGCTGTTGTTTTCCACTGTTACCTTCCTTCGGGAGAATAAAGTGGCTTCTTTCTTGGCTGTCCCACAAAAAAAAGAAGAAAAAAAAACAGACCCAACTCTGCTGAACCACTTCATTTCATTAGTAGACTAACAGAGGGGAAACTCGTATACTAATGCCTTTCATTTCTGACCTCGGTCACCTGATCTTAAGGTTCCTGCAGCATTGAGGTTCCGCTGTAGATGTGCTACAGCCCCACAGCTTCACATCCTGACCCTGGACCACTGCTTCTGTCTGCTCCCCTTCATCGTACCCTTGGCTGGACGCAGAGTGCCAATCACACTCAATGCATTTAACTAGGTATTTGTTTGTGTGCCACTAAAGGCACGACACACTATATACTGTAGTACTGATGGCCAAATGAAGCTTCATGAACCACTTGCTATATTTTCTGATCCCACTAGATGGTTCTCTCTGTTCAAAAAAGGGCTCAAAGCATGCCCCAAAGCAAACCAAGAGCGCCATCTAGTGGGGACAGAAAATACAGCAAATGGTTCATTTGGCCGTCACTACTCTGTAGCTACCAGACTATTCACAAAAACCCACACATACGAATACAGTGTATCACAATTATGGCCAGTTATGTCACAGTGCACTCAGGCAGAGGAATTTCCCTGCTGTCTACATTCTGCCAGCAGGACATGCCCCATATAAAATGCATCATGTTTTAATGTCTTAGTCTCTGCCTCCAAAAGGGATCACAAACCCCCAGTGGTCACAGGGATCCTTCAGTGTTAAAAGATGGGTTCCCCAGACCCTCGCTACTGCTCCCATCTTTGTGCAACTTGCGCCTCCAAAGCAGGAAGGCGACCACAGAGAGGAGCAGTAGGAGGGTCAGGCCTCCAGCGATGAGCCCGGCTTTCAGGGCCAGGGTATCAGTCCCCTTGGGCTCATACCGGGTACAGGAGTACTGCGACGGGGTGCTGGTACCAGCCCTGTTGATCGCCTCCACACACACTTTGGTCCCTGGCACCAGATTCCCCAGAGAGCCTTTTCTGGAAATCTCCCCAAACAGCTGAAATGTGCCCAGCTCCACTGTGACCCGGTACTGCTGCACTTCAGAGGCCGGAGCGCACCACCGGGCCACCACCTCAGCACCCTCGCGGCGCACGCTGTTCAGATGCGGGGCCTGGGGCAGGACATTGGGCCCGCTGAGACCTGGGCACAGGCAGCCACTTTCCAATGACAGCTGGGTGCAGGGCATCTGCTGGTCCCTGCAGGGGTCGTAGTCACAGAGTTCGGCCAAGGCGGCCGGCCGCGAGCTCGCCCGCGCTGTGGGCGTCTCCGGCTCCTCGGGCTCCGCCACGAAGATGATTCGTCTGTATGTCACGGGAGGCTGACTGGTCGTGTGGCTTCTGTTTTGGCTCGGCACCGTGTTGGTGACAGAGTCATGGAGAAGCACCAGGAAGAGGAGCAGTGAGGGCAGAGCCGCATTCCTATTGGCAGACATGCTATCTGTGGGCATTTAAATGAGACATGAGGATCATGGTAAAAAAACAGTCGCGGGCCAAAAATTTCAACTATTAGCCGCCATATTCCTGTAGCAACATTTTACTTTTAGCACCGTAGCACACAGGATCACACATACAAGGACGACTCTCCATCTGAGCAGCTCCATCCCCCGGGCCACTGCCCTCCTCATCGGGGTCCCAAGGCAAGCACACTGCCACCTATGCAACACTGCATTTTATACTCCTGTTGACTATTTGCACACACCCCAAACGGTTTGTACCCTTCTTATCCTTATTCATACAGTATGCCTGCATGTTTACCCTTCTGTATTCTATACCAGCTTGTCCTACTGTACCTGTTTATTTATATAACATTTCTCATTCATTGTCTCTCTTTTTCTCTCCCCATCTTTATTCTGTTTATTGTTTTGTGTATTTTTGTTTGTATTACGCGTGCCACCATCTGCCCCAAAATGATTTTCACTTTTTGTACATAGTGCATAAAAGTGTTCTGATATCTGACTCTTTCGGTGATTTGCCTCTAATTTCTAACAAAAATGTAAGACTTTCAAACAGCGATTAATGGAATTCTGTTTGCTCAATATAATTTTAAGAAATCCCTGACAAAATCTGTATTTAAAATAATTCCATTTCTTTTTTCTGTCATACTGTATGTGCTTGAAGACATTTTCTAAACAGCGACTGTGTGAAAACTGTTTTGTTCATAATATATCTTCGTATAGGACTCAATTTGGCAGAATTGTTCATTATTTTTTTACTTTATAATTATTACGGTGGCTGTTAACAGGAAAATCTGCCCCCCCCCCCCCACCAAGTACCAAGAAAAATTAACCGAATTTTAAGTTGGACAAAGTTAAACAGAATCTCTCCTCCTCGCCCCATACTCTACCTGTTAGGGGTAAGTGAAGACATCATACTGTGTATTAATGTCACAGAAGCGGCCGGCATGGGGACATAGAACTGTACTCACTGTGTTATCAATCTTATAAACTGAACATTAGTCATGAACTGCATTAATAGTCTAGTCATGCACTCCCCGACCTCATCGTCATAGCAACCAAAAAAACCAAGACACAAAATAATCATCAAAATGTAAATAAAACAGACTGTTACCTGAATGATGTGATTTTAGTATCCTTTAGTCTGTCCACCGTCCCGGATTTTGATGATTTTGTTTTCCCTGTTCTTTTCTTTTAGACACGTTTCTCCTCTGACTCTTCTCCCTGCTGCTGCCTTTTAAAGACTCTCCCAGACTCCCCCCTCCTACTTTCCACATTCCCCTATTTTCATTCTTGGCCACCCCCCACAATCCCTTTCTGCCTCCCACCCTCCCCGTTGCCAAGTTTGGTAATGCACTCACTATGGAGAGCTTCTGAGTGCGTGCACACATTTGTGGAGCCACATCTGTATCTGCTGCCAGCTGTGGCACAGGGGGCCTGTTGGAACTCGTCGGTGAGCTTAAGTGAGCATTCGGGGGCAGACAATGAGGAGGTGTTCATTCTACAGCTCACGAATCAGAATTACATTTCGCTTACTCATGCAGGTGTTTTCCGCTGAAGGGGTCATTGCTGGCAGCCTTAAAGTCTTCCTTGATTCATTTGTAGATATTTCCATGTGCATAGTTTCCGACGTGACAAGGTTAGTCACGGTGCATGTATCATAACCAGCCCAAGCGTTTAAGCTTTGGAGCAGTGTTTGCCAACCTGGTCCTCAGGGACTCACAGAGAGTCCACGTTTTTGCTGGGAGGGAGCAAAAATGTGGGCTGTCTGGCAAGGAGCTGGGAGGGAGCAAAAACATGACAAGTCCCCAAAGACTGGATTTGGAAGCACTGCTGTGTCAGTGTTACGCACTTGATAACTCTTTGGGATACACTCTGGTACTGTATAGGTGGGAGGGGTAACTCTTTGGGACACACTCAGGTACGGTATAGGTGGGAGGGGTAACTCTTTGGGACATACTCAGGTACGGTATAGG